ACTGCAGCACATTGTGCAAAGCGATGGAAGTAGCTATCCTTGGCAGCAACATCCCTCAAAATATTGTAGGAGAAGGGAAAAACAGAGGGGTTAGATTGGAACCTGACTGGCTTTTCAGGACACTGGCCGAAAGCGGAGGAAGTTTGTAGAGGGAGAGGAAGGGGAGCGCAAGTTATCCTTTTGCTTTTGGGAGTGAACAGGAAGACGCTGCCCCCTACCAGCCGCCTTTCTTTGAACCTCTGCATAAATGATCACTGACCCTGTGGGTGCTGATTTGCTGATCTCACCATGCTAAGATCCTTTACAGTAGAATGCTACATGTTGGACTGGACCCTTCCCAGGTGTTGAGAGCATGCATAAGCATGTGGACTAAAACACATTGACCCAGACTGGGAGCTCAGGGGTGCAATCATGAGAGTACTTGATGGGTGCCCTCCAAGTAACTGCTTTGAAATAGCAAGAGCATGCAGCACGGAGAGGCAAGGGCAACTGGTGCCTCTTGAGTCTGGGGGGGCACCTGCAGAAGCCGGTAGTGGTGGCGGCAGCAGGGACAGGGCTGGCAAGCACCCGCAGAAGCCGCCGACAGCATCGGCAGTGGGGACAACCCTGTCGGGGGGGGGGGATATGCCCCCCCTACCAGTCGCCTATGTGGTGAGGTGTTATTTGGCTATGCCCCCTTTTTACTCCAACTGGTGCACACACGTGAAGCTGGAATTGTTCCTCTTCTGATCACAGAGGCCTGTCTCAGGCACTCATGTGAGAATAGTCTCAGTTTGCAACTGCTTGTAATGTTAAGACTTACAAGATCTAGGGCATGGGTGAGCAACGTTTTTGACCAGTGCACCAAAAATGTCTGCAGCCTTGACTTGTAAGATGTTGGCATGCCAGGGGCAGACAGTGGGGAAGCCATGAGGAGCCTGATCCTTATTGTGGTTGCGCAGCCCCAGCCCCTTCCCCAAGGCATGAGTGTCAAGCAAAATGCTTTCATGTGCGACACTTTAGCACAAATGCCAGGGGTTGCCTATCTCAACCTAAGGTGATAATATTGTGGGGCAGAAATTCTGCTGGTGAAAATGAGTTTAAATTCTTTGACTACAAATGGAGTTTTATTTATTTGTGGGTCAGCTCCTTGAAGATGTCATCTGTGAACATATTCTAAGTATCCTTCATGGTTTTCATAGATTCGTAGATGCTAGGGTTGGAAGGGACCTCAATAGATCATCGAGGATTCATAGATGTTAGCATCAGAAGGGACCTCAATAGATCGAGTCCAACCCCTGCATAGGCAAGAAAGAGTGCTGGGTTCAAATGACCCCAGCATAGATGCCTATCTAACCTCCTCTTGAAGACCCCCAGGGTAGGGGAGAACACCACCACCCTTGGAAGCCCATTCCAGACTTTGGCCACTCTAACTGTGAAGAAGTTCTTCCTAATGTCCAGTCTAAATCTGCTCTCTGCTAGCTTGTGGACATTATTTCTTGTAACCCCCGGGGGCGCCTTGGTGAATAAAACCTCACCAATTCCCTTCTGTGCCCCCGTGATGAACTTATAGGCAGCCACAAGGTCGCCTCTCAACCTTCTCTTGCGGAGGCTGAAGAGGTCCAGGTGTCCCAGCTTCTCCTCATAGGGCCTGGCCTGCAAGCCCTTAAATCCCTCTTGAAGTGTGGCGCCCAAAACTGCACGCAGTACTCCAACTGTGGTCTGACCAGGGCCCGATAGAGGGGAAGTATCACCTCCTTGGATCTGTTCGTCATGCATCTGCTGATGCATGATAAAGTGCCATTAGCTTTTCTGATGGCTTCGTCACACTGCCGACTCATGTTCATCTTGGAGTCCACTAGGACTCCAAGATCCCTTTCCGCTTCCGT